AAATAGGGAAGGGTGGAGGGTGTGAAGGGAGGGCTAGGAATGGGGAAAAAATAAGAACCAAGATGCATTATGTAAAGGTACAATTCCCAATGAGAAATGCAATTGTGTTGTATACCTACAATGTACCAATAAAAGAATTTCATAAAAAAAACAAAAAAGTAGGTGTCTGCCATAATGCTTGATCTGGCATTGTGCCCACACTTCTGGCTCTGCGCTTTCTGACGGGAAGGTGGCTGCTGTGATGAGAAAGAAGCATTTCACATCAATGCCAACCACTGGTTGATCTCTGATGAGCACCTATCATCTGTGTTGTTTCTCACTTCTCCTGATCATTTCCTGTTTCAACCCACTCACCAACTCACTGTCTCCATAATCGCGATCTTTGGTGTTCTCTTTAAAGTGGTTTTATCCCATTTCCCTTTGCTCCTTGCTCGTCAGTATAGAAATATATCACAGATGTGTGTATGAGAGAAGAAGGCTGTGTTGCGACCACCGGGACAGAGTCAAAGGGAGCTCTCAAAGAGCAAAGCTATAGCCTGTGAGGGTAAACACAAATGCACATCTGGGAATGGTGCATGTGTCTGGGAAATAAGGACACAGAGGTTTTAAATGTAAAACTAATCCTCTACCAGAGTGGGTTCTGAGGTAGGCAATGAGCACAGAGGTGAACTGAGTCCAGGAAGTGGGTCCAAGCAGACACCTGCCAGGATGCAGTTCTGCCCTGAAGAACATGCACAGGTATCCACCGTGGGTGCCAATATTATGCACTGCATTGAAACAGCAGGCCTAGGCACTATACATGTAGTGTATCAGCTCCAATCACTGCTCATGTGCTTGTAAGCCAATGTGATCTGAGTGATCTGCCTAAACTCCTAACTTCCTCACTTATAAAATCGAGATAAATATAGTACTTACTCCATAGACTCATTAAATGAGATGAAACATGTTAAACACTCAGGTTAGAGGCTGTGTACATAGTAAGTGGCTTATGGTTATGATTAGTCATAATTATAGGGCACTGAGGACTAGAGGGAGCAGACAAGGTCACCAGGAAGCATGGGTTGACTGGACATTATCTGATCTTGTCCTGACTCTACTGACATTCAGTTATGGCACTGGAGAATGAGGCTGTGTGGGGACCACAGAGGACATCTTATCCAAAAGGCTCTCACTGTTGGAAACACCAAGGCCTGCCCAGCCAGAGGCACTCAGCTAGGAGCACAAAGCCTGGACTCAAAGACCCTCTGAGATGCACAGCCCTTTCTCCATCTTGGCACATTTCAGTCACCCACAGCTGCATGTTTAGTATCACCAAACACAACATTCTGATCTCTGCAGATGTTCATGCACTCTTTAATTCACAATGCTTTCCTGACCAGCTACCACGTGTAGATCCTTGTGTTAGGTACTATGGTTCAAGCCAGATATGGTCCCTATGTTCATGAGGCTTACAGGTTGGGGGGCATTAGTCAAACAAAGTAACTGAAACAAAAGCAAGATCACAACTGTAAAGTAAAGCCCATGGGAACAAAGAGTCTGCTCATATGTCACTGTGGTGTCCTTACCACTTAGAACAGTGTCCTGCTTGTGACAGGTACTGAATGAGTATTTGTTGGATAGATGCCAGCCTGAGGACAGTGGCAGTCAGAAGCAATGTGTGAGACAGGGTGCACTAGGGAATCTGATCTACTCAGAGTGGTCAGGAAAAAGGTGCTGAAAAGCAAGTGGATCCCAACTGGGTGAGTAAGACAGGGTGAATCACAGGGAGTGGAGAGGGCTGTAGTTCAAGGGCAAAGGAACTTTCTGAAGGAGAAGAAGATATATGTCCAACTGAGCAATAGTTCTGGTAGGTGAATGAATGGAACCAGCAATAAGATGAAGCATGTCACAAGAAGTGCTGAGCTATACCAGATGGAATCATAGTGCCCTGCATGGATGCACAGCTTTCAATTCACTGTATCCGTCTGAGGGGCAATTTCCTACTGAAAGCTCACAGTGACACTTTTATGTCAGCAGACAGGAAAACATCATCCCAATTTCTGTTCAATAAACTCAGGCCTTCAGTATGAAGCTATCAAGGTTATTCAACTAAACCCTTTATGATGCTCTTGTTTAATCTCACTAGATGTTTGAGGCAGGCATTAAAATCCCACCTTAATAGCACATATGAGGACAGGAAAGCTCAGCAAGGATGAGTGACTCATGTTGCTGAGTCAAGATGTAATTGTATGTTTTTGCTATGAATTGAACTGTGTCCCTCCAAATTCTGTATGTTGAACCTCCAGGCCTCATAGTGAATGTATTTAAGATGGACCCTATAAGGGTCAACAGAGGTTGTTAAGTAGGATCCCTGATCCAATGCAATCAGTGTCTTTAAAAGGAAAGACACCAGTTGACCACCGTTCATTACTCCAAACTCCAAGGAAAGGCTATGTGATGATTTCACAGTTGGTTAGAAGCCAGGAAGTGGACCCTCACTAAAACTTAACTGACTGGAACCTCCATCTTGGACTTCTAGCCTCCGGCCAGGAGTTTATCATCTGAACCACCCCATCTAGGGTATTTGTTGTGGCGGCCTGAGGAAATTAATACAGTCTTGGTGTACACTGGTTATTGCTCCAAGCTATGACTTGCCCCCTTCCTGAGTCAGTGGCAGAGACACAGACTCGAGTCACCTGGCTGATGGTCCCAGGTGTCGCTGTGACCATATTACCTACTACAGGAGACCTCATTAACTGACGGGGAAGGGGGGGCAGGAGCAGAACAGTGTCCTAGTCCTGCACTCTCTGCTGTGTTATCAGCACTGAGGGACGGAACTCATGGTCAACACAGCGTGGCAGGCTCTGCTTCTGTGATTGCCCTGGATTCTGAGCTGTGAAAAGTGACAATCACAGAGCTGACCCTAGCCCTCGGAAATACAAATGTTATCACTTTCCATGTGAATGAGATTGACATCTTAGAAAAGTAGGGCTTCTAATCTTTCACCCTGGAAACAGAGCTGACACCAGCACTGCTTCATCTTAATGTAAGAGTGCATGTTAGTATGGGTACCCCAATCTCTCTGTCTCTGTCTCTGTCTGTCTCTGTCTCTCTGTCTTTCTCTCTGTCTCTCCCCCTGCACCTGTGTACATCCTCCAGAACTTGATGACAGGTCCAATCCTGGATCTCATCACCTGTTCATTAGCTGTGTGTCTGTCAGGGTTACACAATCTCTTTGTTCACCCTTTCACTGCTCTGTAAAATGGGCACTGACAGGATGCCTAAAAGCCAGTAAATATCCGTTCAATGGTGGATATTACCATTATGAATAATGACCTCAAGTACTTCTATTTTAAAATAAAGTTTTTGGAACAAAGTCAGTAGGTATCTTTGCCTTGGGCAAAAGAATAAAACATTCAAACTAGGGTTACTGCTCCTCACAAACAGTCATGTAATAATCCATATGCTCTCTAGGCCAGGTTTCTCTCCATGCTGCTGTGTGCAGAAAGAGGAGAATACTCATTACTGTTGGAGGCAACCAGATGGAAGTTTGTTATTTGGGGGTTAAATCCCCTTCCCCTGAGAGCTACACTGCCATTCCATTACTGTGTGTGAAAGCTGTAATATTCTACATGCTTGTTATCGCATCTGTGCAAACCAGCCCTCTTGAAGTCTACCCACTCTGGAGAAGTGCACCAGGGAGGGGAACAGGCAAACCTGTCTTTGAAGTTGGCTTAAACATAAAAGCATAGGCATTCAAGCAGGCAGAGGAAGGAAGGAACATGCTGTACCCACCTGCCACTGCTGATGAGGGGCTTATTTCTAAGACATACACAGCACAATGCACACACAATGCAGAGAGAAAACAAAAGACATAGATCACACATTTCAGATGGTTGGTGGACAAAATTTAGTTTGTGTCAATGCTGAAAGCTTGCTTGGGGTCTGAGGTGCACAACAGAGAAAGGGATTTCTCTCCATCTTCTTTATCAGATGCTCCCCTCTAACCAAAACCCAGCAAACAAGCACATACATACACATAGAAACTAGCACAACAAGCTGGTCCTGGCCCAGGCTGTGAAATGTGGGACAAGACTGTGGACAGAGCAGTGTGGGAAGAGGAGTGAAGGAAGGAAGGGCTTCCAAGAGGCTAGCCGTAGGGGAAAAAGAGACCTTCAGAGAAAGGCCTCCCACTGCAGTTACAAATGGAACAGTCATCTGGTGAGGACAGAGACCTCTGAGCCATTCACCTCAGTGAACAAGAGTGTGCTGTGGCAGTCAACACGAGGGTCATGGCAGCAGCACTTGAGTTGGTTTAGCACTGTCAATACATCTCACCAAATCACAGGCTCTTGCTACGAAGGTTTCTTATCTTAAAGTTTCTAGTTCACCCCCACAGATACAGCTTTAGATCATACTGTAATCAAACAGCTCCAGGGTTCTATCTTCTTTATAGATTCCACATTCAAGGTGATTCAGAATTTGGTTTACTGCTTTTGAAAGGGGTAAACATTACCTCTTGAAGAGCAGGTCAGTCGATGACCTTACAAACACCCCTGTGTTACATGCTGGGGGAATATAAGGAGGAGGATTTCTTATCTAAAGGTGGTGGGCTGAGCAGTATGGATGGACACAGGCAAATCATGCCTTCCTCCCTCCTGAGTCCTTTGAGCTCCCCCATGAGACTGAGCCCACTGTGTCTAGGCATCCAGCACTCACCATACAATGTAATGCTGGCATTGGTGTTTCCAAGCGTGTTGGTGGCCACGCAGGTATAGTTTCCATAGTCCTTCTCTGAGACATTGAAGAAAGTCAGAGTGGATATGCGGCCTTTGTTCTCAATCCTCACTCCATCCAGGCCAGTGGCTAACCTGCAAGAAGAGAAGATACTGCTGTCCCGGTCCTGCAGATGGATGGAGGAAGCCGGCAGAAGGTGCTGAGACAATGTGAAGATATCACAGATCAAATCTGCAAAGAGGATCTATGTCCAAAACCTCTAACTAACCTAATCCCTCCAGCTCAAACCCTAACTACCACAGTCTCCAACAGGAGGGAAAAGGAAAGAATAGTCATGGCCAAATCATGCAATTGACTGGCTTCTAGCCATCAGGGACTACCATGTCTGCAACTAATCTTAGATTTGGAAATAAGGTCAATTCATTTTGTTGACTTCCCAGCTTTCTCCATTTTTATCTTCTGGTTCTAAAAGAGACTCTTACAGAGGAGAGTGGGATACATTTCTAATTTGCTTTATCTTTACCCTGTACTTTACTCCTCTTTCCCTACAGGGACAACCCCACAGCTCTGTCTCTTGTCTGGGCTAGCTCCTTGAAGGTACCTGGTATCTTCCTTGAACCACTGGAACTCAGCCATGGGAACTGCAGAGGCCTCACAGCTCAGGATGCCCTTCTGACCCACGGAGACACCAGTATTCCTGGCTTTTGAGATATAGGGAGGGTCTGTGGGAAAAAACCAAAAAAAGTAAACCACATAGGATAATCCACATAAGACATGACAGGTACATCCAGCCACTTGCTACTTGTCTTGTGACATCCTTACTTCCTAGTAAAATGACCAGTGATTGTAAGAAAAGAATTTTGTTTGCCAGGCCTGGTGGTGCATGCCTATAATCATAGCCCTTGGGAGGTAGGGGCAGGAGGATCGCTGAGAGTTTGAAGCCAGCCTAGACTACATAGGGAGTTCAAGGCCAGCACTGACAACAGAGTGAGGCTCTGTCTGAAAAAACAAAAACAAACACACATGCACGCGCTTGCGCGCGCGCACACACACACACAGAAAAAGAATTTTATGCTTGAAGACATTGCATTTACTCAGCATCTTCTTTGGTCTTTAACCCAATTCTAAGTCAGAAGTTGGGCCAGTGTGCTGAAACCACTGACAATCCCAGAAGGCTCTAGGGAAACAGGAGGCAAGGGAATGAGTGTAGGTCTTTCAGAAAATGGCAATGACATTACCAACTCATCCACTTAGCACTGGAAGTTTCCCCCTGGAAGGCCTTGACAGGAGTGTGGCACTCACAGTTGACAGTGATCTTTACTTTCCGCACATCTGGCGCAGCGACATCATTCAGGGCACTGCATTCATACTCCCCGGACTGGTCACGCTTGATGTCAGAGATTTCCAGGTATTCGTCTTCACTCACAAAGCCCTGGCCTTCTGGGAGGGAAAGACAGGCAGAAGACAATAAAGAAACTGTTAAACTGGGGACAGAACTGTATTCACATCCACAGGGTAAAGAAGGAGAAGGAAGAGCCATAATAGGGGTTTGAGCATCAAGTAAATAATACAGGACACTGTGAAGAAAGTCTGGGTGAGTCGTGGATTAATGCATTTTCAGCCCAGCACTTTAGTTTTTTAGGGCATTCAAGTAAGAAAGAAATATCAATATTTTCTTAAATGATTATCATGAGTATTAAAAGACACACAATAAACAATACAGTTCATTAATAAATCTTTTAAAGAGAATAGTGAAAGGTAATATAAAATCTGTGGAATAACTTTAGGTTATATTTGTATGAACAATATTTTCCTTTTTCCCTATGTAGAAATGCTTTTATATATAAAGCCCTAATAACCACTACTAACTACTTGTAGTGCAAATAAATGAATACTTTGTGTGTTAACACAAATTCATAACTGTTGGTTCAGTTTCAAATTTAGATGGAGCCTTCCATAACGTATACATATTTTAAAGTATTATGTTGTACATTAATAAAAAATACGGTTTTTACCAATTAAAAAATTTAAAAGCTATGGTAGATAAGATAGAGAAAAGGATGAATGAATGAATGAATGAATGACTTCATCATTGCTACATAGTAGATACTCAGCAACAATTTGCCACAACAACAAAAAAAGGTATTTCAAATAACAGCTCTTTGGCTATGAGAAGAGCTCATGGATTTAGAGTGTGATTTTGGGGGGCATTCTGGGGATCTCATTCTCATGCACTTATGAAATTTGCAATTCATGATCCAGAATATTCTGGGGCTGCAAGGTTTGCTTTGTTTCCAGCCACCATTACATGTTCTTGCAAGAGCAGGGGAAAGAAAAGAAGGGAAAGGAAAAAATGAGAAAAGAAGGAAAAAACAGAAAGAAAGCTTTTGTAAATAGGAAGAGCTAGTAGAGGGGTTGAAGGGGGGGAAGGGGAATAGGAAAAAATAAGAACCAAGATATACCATGTATAGGTACAAATTCCCAATGATGAATGTGATCATAATGTATACCTAAAATGTACCAATAAACTTAATGAATAAAAAAATCACATGCTCTTGCAACTATCTGGACACTACACCTTATTTCTTTCTTTCTTTTTTTTGGTACCGGGGATCGAACTTGGGACCTTACGCTGGCGAGGCAGGCGCCAGAATCACTGAGCTAAATCTCCAGCCCCAACACCTTATTTCTTATCCCTCACCTTGTGGTTCAACACAAAGAGAACAAACCTTCTGCCTTCAAACAAATATTGAATTCTCTTGAAATACCAACTCCCATGAAGACCCAATGAAGGCCAAAGGAAAGGCACAGCTATTTTCCTGTCTCCTAAACCTGTGCCTTTTGTGCTTCTAATTTGAGGGCCAAATTAGTTTTCAGGACATTGAAAAGGACTCCTCCCTCTCCAGAGGCAGATTCTGATCCAGTGGGTAGTTGTTTATCCCATAGCTAAGGTCCCTTACAGGTGTGGAGCAGGAAGGTGGAGTGTGTGTCAGAGGCCATGAGGATTCAGGTGCTTTGTCATCCTGACTGCCCCAGGTCTAAGCTTTGAGAAGCTATCACAAACCATATCCCAGGCTATGTGCTTTTCAGCCCCTGCTGCTTTCTCAACTCTATCCCCTTTCTCAGGCCATCCCCAGCTAGAGTGTAATGTCATTTACTGGATGCTGGCCATCCCTAGGGGCCACACACAGAATAATTTGAGTCACTCCAAATCAGCACCCTTCTGGGATCTCAATCCCATGGAAGAATGATTGTGTTGACCAGCAAGAGTAGTTGATTTCCCACTCCACCTTTCCCAGGACCTGGACCTGGGGACAAGGCCCAGGGCAAGCCCATAGGGGTGAAGTCCAGAGTTGAAAGGGAATCTGGCTGTGCATGAAAGAATGGCTGGCAGGTGCAGAACAGAAGACCTTCCTATATGGAAGGAGTGGCACCCAAGAGAGCAGCCACACTCCCAGCCTTGGAAATTAGCAGGCCTGGCTGCTCCATGGCAGCAGTGGGAAGCTGAGAACATTTTACAGAAGATAACTGTAGAGCATGGGGCCCCCTGGGGCCTGGGACTGAGTCCCTCACTTTGTGGTGTCTCAGGGTGTTGTTGATCACAGTGCAGCCAAACAGGAAGAAAGAAAACAACGCACTTATGTAAAACAGGAACTGTTATAACACTGCCTCATTAAGTGAGAAATCGCATCCTGTCAAGTTGTAAGATAAAGTGTTTCTCAGATTTAATTTGCATATGCATTCCTCAGGGTCTTGGAACAATATAGGTTTGGATTCAGTAGGCCTGGAGGTGAGATTAGGCATGATAAGGAGTGGCCGGTGCCCCTGTGCTGTAGGGCTGAGCCATACTCAGGACTGAAACTGCCAGGTGTGACCAGGCTATGCCTGTGCTCAGGCTTCCACACTCAGAAGCTCTAGGTCTGTGCTGTAGAGGGCTCTTAAATTCCCTCTAAAGGCAATGTGTTGGAAGTTTGATGCTTCTGCGAGGTGGTAAAACCCTCAGATTTGGGTTCGGCAGGGGCCTGCAGTCTTTCTTTATGGGATGTGCCCTTGAAGGACTAGTGGGAACCCAGCCACCCTTTCTGGCCTATGAGGTAAGTGGCATTGCTCTGGTGCACACTCCCACCATGATCTGCTGCCTCATCACAGTGGTCATGGGCTGAAAGTTTGAAAAGGTGAAACAGAATAACCCTTTTTCTCTCTGTAAGTTGATCATCTCAGGTGTTTGTCATTGTAACGTGAAGCTGACTAACATAGTCTATGAAGTTGTTAACTGGTCAAGAAATATCCTGCTGAGATCCAGAGAAGCCTGCATCTCAAAGTTGTACCATCATAGGGGTCTGGGGCTCAGAGAGAGAGACACTGAGGCTGACAGCCAAGATCCTAAGAGCTAAACTTTCTATCCTCTGACTACAAAATACACATCTTCCACACATGGACGTCTTTGCTGATGAACGGGAAGAGGCACAGGGAAGGTGATTTAGATTTCCTTCACTACTTTGAATGCTGGGTGAGATTTTTCAAGTACAACAAATCTAGGTTGCTAACCGCCTGAGACCCAGGAAACTGTGGGGTTGGATGCTTTCCTTGCCTTCTCAGCTCATAGTTGAAACAGAATCCTAATTCCATGCTGCAGAGAAGGGGACAGAAGGCAGCACATATTTTAATCCTCTTTACTGGCTGCTAGGAAGCCACCTTGGTGACTATGGGGGATAAATAGGAGCAGGGAGAAAAATTTGAGGAAAACACAGGTGAGGAAGAAGAAGAGAGGACAATGAAGGATGTGTTGGGATGAGGAAGAAAGAAAGGCAGGCAAGATGGACTGGGAGCCACTGGAAAACTCTGAGGATACATTCACATTGTTGTGGGACATAAACTCGTACAACCATTATGGAAATCAGCGTGGAGATTTCTCAAATAACTAAAATTAACAATTCCACATGACCTAGTGATCCCCCTTCTAGATATCTTCCCAAAGAGCTTAAGACATCATACTACAGTGGAAGATGCATACCACTATTTATAGCAGTGCAACTCCTAACAGCTAAATCCTGGAATCAGCTTGCATACCCATCAACAAATGACTGGCTAAAGAAGGTGTGGTGTCTTTACATAATGGAATACTACTTGGCTATATAGGACAAATTTAAGACACTTGTAGGAAAATGGACACAAGTAGAAAATATAATGTTGTGTGATATAAACTGGACTCACAAGCTTAAATACTATGTAGTATCTCTCATTTGAGTAAGGCAGAGTACAAACAAAGAGATCGATAGAGGATAGATAGAAGGAGACAAGGGGATGGATCTCTTGTGAATGAGAAAGGATCCAATAGACCAAGAGCAAGGGGTGAGGGAGAGGGGAAGGGGAAATAAGTCAAATAAAGATAAGCCATGTACAGGAACCTAATAACCTCAGTGAATATAAACATTACATGCCATAAACATGAGCTAACAGTAATGATATCAATAGGAATGCAAATGGGGAAAAGGGAATTTTAGAAGAGAGGGAAGGGGAAGAGGATTTTAAAAAGGAAGCAAGTTATATTATGTATATGTACCCACTCCCCAGGGTGATTGTAAATGGATGTACTTCAAACATGTACTACTACTGCTAGTAATAGAAGCCTACAAGATAGTATTTTCTCTCATAAAAGATATGAAAGTTGGAGCTCTATGTCTTCCCAGAAGTGCATCTTCTTGGTGCCATGTCCTATAAGCCAATGTGATACAGTCATTACGAACCATCCCTAAGCGTTCAGGCACCCCAACCCCAC